CTCTCTCTGTGTCTGTCTGTCTGTCTTTCTCTCAAACATGCTGTCATTTAGCCCAGGTTGGCCTCCAACTTGCTATGTAACCATGGATAACCTTGAATTTCTGGATCCTCCTCCCTCCACCTCCCAAGATCTGGGGTTACGGACATGCACTACCATGCCTGGTTTGTGTGGTGCAGGGGATTGACCTTGGACTTCGCACACACCAGGAAATCACTCAGCCAGCTGAGCTACATTCCCAGGTCCCTGTCCCCTTCTTGGACAAACACTACAGTAGGGCTCACGTTGGGGGATGTCCTTCTGTATATAAGTTTGTCTTATGATGAATAAAAAAACACTGTGGCCAATAGAGACAGGGAGATAGGCAGGACTAGGAGATAAGGAGAATTCTGGGAAATGTAGGCAGAGTCAGTCGCCAAATAAACCGCATAGGAGTAAGAGGTTCAGGACCCTTCTCCGGTAAGCCAAGACCACATGGAGATACAGAGATTAAAAGAAACGGGTTAATAATTAAGACAGAGCTAGCCAATAAGAAGCCCAAGCCACCGGCCAACAGTTTTATAATTAATGTAAGTCTTGTGTGTTATTTGGGGCTCTCAAGGGCAGCGGGACCCTGCCGGGACAAAGAACCGCTCATTACAGGCTCATTTGCCCTCATTACAGGGAGGGTGCTCAGCCTTCCAGACGCCTTACCATGGAGCACTGTGAGCAACTCTCTGTTGACTCACCTCAAGAAGCAATCACCAAGTCCTCAATACCCGCTCTTCCTTTGTGTAGAATGTTCTTGTCCTGGCTCTCAGCTTCCTCTGTTGTTTTGGTCTAGCCACAAAAGCCACCTCCACCAGGGGACTCCCTCTGACCATCTGGGTTGTCAATACCACAATGTCTGATAGTGCCCTGCATATGACGGCATCCTGAGTATATTACTTCTCCATAATATTTAGGGTAGTGTGGCTGTAGATAGGAGTGTGCGTGCATGTGTGTGTGTGTGTGTGTGTGTGTGTGTGTGTGTGTGTGCCTGTGTATCTCTGTATTCTCATCTATTCCTGTGCCTGTGTGTGAAGGTCAGAGGTCAACTTTGGATGCTTCTCTCTCTTACTCTCCACCTTATTTTTTGAGACTCTCACTCAACCGAGAGTTTATCATTTCCCCTAGATTGGCTGGCCCTGGAGTTCCTGGAACATGTCCTGGAACCCTACCCTCTCCCCACCCCCAACGCAGGAGCTATAGGCGTGCACGGCCACGCCCAGCTTTTGAATGGGTAAGGGATCAGAACCCTGACCCTCAGGCTTCTTAGCAACCATTTTGCCTCCTGCGTGTTTTTTTGTTTCATTTTGTTTTACGGATTTATTTACTTTATGTGTATGAGTATTTTGCCTACATGTATGTATGTGCGACACACGTTTGCTTGGCACCCACAGAAGTCAGAAGAGGTATTGGGTCTCCTAGAACTGTAGCTTCAGGTGGATGTGAGCCGCTGAACCCGTGTCCTCTGCAAGAGTAGCAGGTGCTCTTAACCACCAAGCCGGCTTCTCAGCTCCGATTTGTTTTGTTTTGCTGTGTTTCGTGAGACAAGGTCTGGCATTGCAGGTACCATATAGCTCTGGCTGACTTTGAACTCACAGCATCCCCTACTGTCTCAGCCTCCCCACGTGCTGGGATTACACATATGCACCATCACACCCAGCTCAGACAGGAGAGTTGTTCCTAGCTCTGATCCCCAGAATCCAGTGGACAAACAGGGATTAAGGAGTGAAGGGACCAGAGACAGAGGATAGCTGGGGACACTGCGGGGAGCAGGGGTGTGCGAAGGGTCGGGAACCTGTCCAAGTCACACCTTGTCTATGTAGCTCCGGCCCAGCTCCTTCACTTCCTGAAGATGGACTTGGGCTTGGGCCTGGCTCTTCTTGCCCATTCGTCTCCGGCAAAGACTCCGGTAGAGACAGAAACAGCTGCTGAAGACCAGAAGGCCTGAGCCCAGCACGATGGTGGCCAGGACCCAGGCAGGTACTGCAGAAAAGTGGACACAACATACATCAAAGCTCTGGAAAAGCTGGCTGGCCGGCTCAGGTTCGATTCCGGATGGCAGCTTGAATCTTAGCCTGGTTTTCCCTGCAGCCAATTCCGTTTAGTGTAAGCCCGTGTTTTCCTTCCAACCAGTCTCACCTGTAAAGCTCAGTTGATGCTCTAACCCACGATTCGCTGCCTGGCAGCCCTGACGTCTCTACACCCATTTTCATCTCTGCTTAACTCCTATTGCTTTTGAAAGAAGAAGCTTTGCTCGCCCCTGGGTCTCGGTTTCCATTCTCCCATTTGTAATTCCCATTCCATGCCCCACCCTTGATCCGCTGACGGTTTTCCTCGAAGACCTGTCTCTCTTTTTCAGAGTTTCAGATTCTAGCCTGGGATACTGACCGACGATCCCTGCCCGATTTTCCAGCCCACCAACCAACTCTTTGCATCTGAGTCCCGCCCCTTGGGATCCAGCCCCGCTTTCTGCTGGCGCTGGGTTTTCTCACCTGCGCCGTGCCTGATGCGGCTCGAATCTGGAGGTGTCGCAGGCGCTGGAGACCCCGGGGTTGGGGGTTCCGGGAACATGGCGTCGGGTTCCTGCGGTGCTTCCTGCAGAGGTTCCCAAGCACCCTAACCCCCCACTCCTACCCCAAACATCCAGTGAGTTTTCCGCCCATCAGAGACTCTCGGTGCACACTGGGAGTTCATCTCAGCCTTTCCAGGCCTTGGGGGGGCTTTGGGGGGACCCAGCTCCATCCCAAAGGGACGTCCCCTCTCTGCAGACATCCCCCCCCCAAACACCCTCTCCTGCCTC